GAAAGAAGTTACTGGAAGGAATAACACAATTCCATGTTTATGAGTAAATGAGTTGACAATCCTCAAAATACAAGGAAAAGAAAAGAAAAGAAAAGGAAAGGAAAGGAAAGGAAAGGAAAGGAAAGGAAAGGAAAGGAAAGTAGAACCCCAGACCAATTAAACCATGTCTGGATAAGAGCCATGTTTTTATTTTATTTTTGTTCATTTTTTTTTTTTCACAAACTGTCGTTTGGGACCACTTTAACCCACTCTCTGGCACCTGTTTCTGCCAGTGAGAGAGAAAACTTAGAGCAGTCCATTTTTCACAGCTTCGCCTTTGACAAGTAGCGTAGCCTTCCTGTGTCTCAGTCTCTCATCTCTAAAAGGAGGGCATTTTTTTGTACCCCCTGTCTAAAAACACTTGAAGAGATAACACCTGCAAAGCATCTGGAACATTTCCCAGCATGCACAGGGCTTGACACATGTGCACTACACATGTGCTATGGCTTACATGGCAAAGTCATGCTTAGTTGATATTTTATCTCCTAGTTGAGTAAACAATACAGTTTTCAAAATATCCTTTTGTAACATCTGCTTAACAGATTTACCTGGTGCACATCGACTTTCCTAAGCACACCTGTCTTTAAAATTTTTCTAGACAGGGCTCAAAAACCAATTGTAAAAATTAAGTGACTCACATATTTTCAAATATATTATAAGCTCACTATAGATAGTAAGGAGCATTTTTGTCAAGTATACAAATTTAAGCACATTAAGAATTTTTTCCCTTTAGAAATAGCTATGTTTATGGAATTAATCTATTTGAAACATTTTAGAAACCCCACTAATGGCAATAAGAAGTGAAGATCACCTTATTTGATGGGCCAGCAGGTGGCATGATGTTTAAGGTGCTGGATTCCCACATGGGCAACCATGGTTTGAGTCCTGGATCCAGTGGCTTGAAAATTATGCCAAGCATGTGTGTGTGTGTGACAAAAATCCCGAAAGAAGAATGGAAGAGAAGGAATTGTGGCCAGTCCATCCCCCCTGGGAGGGGGTGACCTCTCACTTTCCTTCTCTCGGTCTCTCTCTGGAGAGTGCATGCACTCTTTGACAAAAACCTAAAAGATAATAATAGTAAATAAAAATTTAAAACAAAAGATATTATTCAAACTGTGCTTCACTTAACTAATAAGTTTTTATTTAAAGTTTTAAAGAGTGCCCATCTAGCAATAGATAAAAATCATTAAATCATTTCTGCCTCATAGAATGAATGACTATAATTGGTCATTTGAATTTTAACAGTTATTTGGAACTTTGAGTTGAAATTCAGTAGAATAAGCACAAACCATATCTTTCATATGGTTTACATATAAAAGATAAATAGGCTGGACATTTCTCTGTTTATTATTTTAAGAATGTGAGTTGTTCTGAATTATATGCAAGATTTGTCTGTAAATCAAAAACGTCTTCCCACTTCTTTATACAAAGGTTTTCCAAAGTGATTTGTGAGAACTATGTCCAGAGGAATAATCATGTAAGCACATGTCCCCAGGAAGAGTTTTATAAAGTGAAAGTGTTAATGTTCCCTTTCTAAGTGTATCTGCACACACACACACAGATACACAATGGGGTTTTATGTTTACATAAATTTGTTTCTGTGTTTGCTCTCTTGGAAATGTACTTTGCAGGGTATTATCCTAAGACTCAGTATTAGGAATGTTTGTTCTCATCCCGTATATTTAGAATATAGATTAAAGGATATACAAATATTCAAAAACTAGGTAACTGTTACTGATTTGGGGGGGTCATTTTAAAGCTTGGTTTATTTTCAAAAATGAAACAGCATTTTATGGCATTGAACTTCAGTGTCCATGAAAAGTTTTGATTATGAATATTCTTGTAGTGATTTTTTAAACTTGGGATTAGTGTACAGTTTAGCCAGACAGAAAACTACCAAAAATATTGGGTCATCTCTCAAAAGGAACTAAATTGTCACTAGAAAGATGTTGATTGGGAATTGTAAAGTTCCTCGATCTCTGCTCATACTTAATAACCATGAACTAGTTTTTCTTGTGCTATTTCAGCTTGTTTAGATTTTCATTTACACAGAATTACAGAAAATTGACATACTCTAAAATGAAGTATTTTACAACAAGCCCAAGTTTGGTTTTGTCTATTGAAGTGCTTTGTAACATTCCCATTTTAAGGAACATGGTTCCAACACTGACTGAAACTTTTCTGCCACTATGAAGGTTCTTTAATTCCCAAGTTAATTCTTTCCTTTTTTCCCCCCAAAACTGTGAACATCTTTTAGCAGCACCATCCTGTACCTAGCTTCTTTCTGCCCTTCCCTTGCATCTCCTGCTTGGAGGTAGTCATGACCAGTCCTCAGAAGAGGAGAAAGTTTAGGCCCAAGCGTTCACTTCTCCTTGAACTCATCGAGACCATTTCTAGAATTGAGTTGACTTAGTGCTTTCAGTGAAAAACAAAAACAAACAACAATAAAAGTGATCCTAGTGATCCATAGCCTTCATAACCTAGAGGGGGATTACCAGTGTGCCCCACGGGCTTTCTAGAACAAATACACTAGTATAAAAAAGTGAATGTAAGTTTGAACTAAAGAAAAACATAGGTCCAACAAAAATGGGCATTGCCATGGAAACCAAGAACTTACATCTTCTTTAGAAGGCTCCCGGTCCCTTTAACATACTGGGGGGAAGAGGTAGACTACTTAAAATATCTCTCCTCTCTTTCATACACACACAAATAAGAATCAGGCAAACATCTAGACACTTTAAATATTTTAGAATCTGCAACTTTAGCATCATAAACTAGGAAATTAAAGCAAACATACAGATGCTTTAACAATGATCTTTAACAAACCACCAACATAATGCCTAGGTATTTTAGGGGAGATTTAGTGGAGGGAGTGTACAGGATGAGATCATTTGACCCTCACACATTCAATCCACCTCCCTGGATCCTGGCAAGAGAGAAGCCACCAGCAGAGAAAGGTGTCCATAACACGCTGCCCGGCAACTTGCTTCAGCCAGCCAAAGAATTACCACCGAGTGGTTCCACCTGGAACGCACTGCACTTGGCACTGGGGAAGACTTCATTGTCCACTCTTTCTTCAGGCCTGGCTGCCAAAGAGTTGCTGGAAAATAACAGCCTTCAACCACTTCTGTCCCCACAATAAAATCAGTAGGCAAATGGTTCTAAACTGTTCACCCCTAGGGCAGTAAAATACTGGAACAAGGTAGAACTTCCTGGCCTACTGTTCTGTTTCTTTCTTCTCTCCCCTGCCACCTCAATCTACACTTTTCGTTCCCTCTCTCTCTCTCTCTCTCTCTCTCACACACACACACACACACATACACACACCACACAGGACTGATGAGACAGGAAGGGTAAGAGATTTGCCAAAGACCAGGCTGCAAGTTAGATCAGAGCTGGAATTAGAACCCAAATCTCAGTAACCAGAGCTAGCCAACTGCTATTCTAGACCCAGAGCAAATCTGCTTCAGTCTCATGAGTTGGGCAAAAGCTTTGGTAGGTGTTCACATTTTATCTGGTACTAACTGCTAAAGAAAGCCCATAAGGACCACCTTTCTGGTCCCACAAGCGCTTTGCCGGTTCCAAGCTGAAGACTTGAGATGAGTTACTTAACTTCTCTGGGCTCTTTCCTCACCTAAAATTAGCAGACTGAGCTCTGAAGAACTTCCCAGTTGTAAAAACCCTGCTTTTCATCTCCTGTGCTATGCTTCGTATGCTTGATGTTTGTGATTTTCACTAGGTGGCAGGATTCCACCACCATATATGAAAGGGTTTTCTGCCTGATGGCTGGGAGCAGAAAATTTCAAAGGGACCCTTTCTTCACATCGGACATTTTTTAAAAAGTAAAAGCCCAAAGGGAAAGAATAACTACAAAAGCAGTATCCCATAGATTTCATACAGATCCATTTTTAATATAAATATAAAACTGGAAATTATCCTCATGTTCATAATCTCTCATGCGCTTACATACAACACTACAACTTGGTACTAAAAATCAGGTAAAAGTTTGCTTAGTTTCATGTATTTTAACATTTATTTTAGCAGATACCAATTAGACAAGAGCAATGGCCTTTGAGCAAACTGGTAACAGGACTAAGCTACAAAATAAGCAATCTAATAGCAACAAAACCATGACATGTTTCAAATAGTTATTAGATGGACTACAAAGTTACTTAACAATGTATTTCAAGAATTCATATTTTAGCAGATGCCAATTAGACCATAGCAAACCCCCTTGAGCAAACTGGTAATGTACTAATCAAAGATACAAGCAATCTAATAGCAACACAAACATAAACTGTTTCAAATAGTTATTAGATGGACTACAAAGTTACATCTTAATTATCCATGCATTTCAAGTATGTGTGGGTTTTATTTTGAGTTCTTAACCAGATAGGTACACAGGACCTAGTACAGAACTTGGATTTTTGCAGACTGACAAATTGTTCTAAATAGGCTTTATGACATTTCATCATACTTGAGAAGTTACTGCCCCAAATTGGCTTTTCATAATGCATGTCACTACCAACACTTTACGAAGAGTCCCTAAAATAGTCAAATCAACTGGTGTAGAGCTGGGCATTTCTCCTTTGCTAGAGCCAAAGAGACATGAAACAGTAACGCAACCGAACATCGAATGCCCCCGAGAACAGTTCCCCAGCGTCTCGCTGGGTGTCAGATGATGGTTAACTGCCTTTTCCTCAGCTCATAAATATGGCACTAGCCAATCCCCCATCAATTGCAAGTTAATTACATAATACATGGTTTATTCTACCCTCCAGAGATGCCTTAAAAAGCAAGCGAACAAAACACAGCCTAGAAAAACCCACTGTCCGCACCAAAAGTAAACGCACACGTAGACTTATGCATCCGAACTTGGGAAAAAAACCTCAACAGGTCGCTCTGCTCCACGGCCCTCCTTCTCGCACAGAGCAGCGACCACCCCGCTTTCGAGTTCCTACCTTGGAGACTTGCAAGGGCTGCCTCTGCTCCTTCCCACCTTGCAGTCGGAACCCCCAGGGCGCCCCTCCAGTCATGGAGATGCAGATGAAATCCCCCGTGCCCATGTTTTCCTTTTAGTTGGGCAGCATGAAGAGCTCGAGAAGACAGACGAGGCTGGGGTGCGCCTGGGGATGCGCGCTGGGCTTCGGCGTCCGAGCCTGCCCGGGACGCAGGGCTGGGCGCGCAGAGCCTCGCCGCGGCCGCAGCCAAGTGCTCAGCGAATGCGATCGTTCACCCGAGGCAGAGGCGCTCGGCGGCAGGACCCAGCCCACGCTTGCGTCAAGCCGCTTCGCCCGGCCCACCTCGGGGAAGGGAGAGCAGCTGGGACAGGAGAGGGTCCTGTTCACCCCGCAAGGGAGCAGAAATCCGCTCGCACTAAGATGCTGTCCCAACCCTGAGAAGACACTGTGGTCGGAAAAGTTCCCTTTAATAATAATATAAATAGCGAAGGACGCAGGGAGGTTCCGTCTCCAGTGCCACGAGGGGACACCCTAAAATAAGAGCTCTGAGAACTCAGTGTCTGGAGCTTAGAGTCTCAAATGAGAGCCTACGAGAGTGGCCACGCTGATGAATGGAAGAGCCGAGAGGGAGTTAACGCGCCTTCAATTACTATTTTCCTGTCTGCGGACTGCAGAAGTAATCCCACAAGAGGATATTTTAAAAAGCACAAACATTTATTTTTTAAAAGCCTCCTACTCTGAAAAGTGCTTTTCTGAACTGTGACATCTACTTAGAGGAGTGAGGTGAAGGGGGGGATCTCCCCCTGAAAACTACCGTCTTATGGTTATGTCCATGGCAAGGTTTGGGGTGTTTTACATTTAAAATCAATCCCTCTCCCTTCCGCCCCTTCTAATTTGCCAGACTGCAAGAGTGCTCTAAGGAGACACACAGAGAGAGAGTGAGAAATCACCCCCGGGGGACGGTCAGGCCGCAACCCCTCCAACTCCCCCTTTTTGGGACTTTGGAGGCACTGTACACACACACACACACACACACACACACACACACACGTGCCTGGGTTCGGACAAACAGTCAGCCATGCGGAATCCGGCCTTACCCACCACACCACTCACTGGCCCAAGTGTTTGTCATCCTCCCTGCAGGTCGTCTTAAATCCGAATCATCACTCAGCTCTGTAGTCTCTCAGCATATGCACTGAATCCAGGCGGTCCAACACAGACCTTATTTTATTCACTATATTGTCCCCACTGCTTTAATTTTAAAGATCTGAATACAATCCACAAGAAGAGTATGAATAGAGATTTTGTTTTCCTATAATAATTTGATTTTTGATAACATTTATGTTTTAAAGAAGTATTTTTATTTACCTTTTATTTCTTTTTTTAATTTGACCAGAGAGGAAAAGAATGAGAGATTTGACCAAAGAGAAACAGAATGAGAGAGAGAGAGAGAGAAAGTGAGAAAGCAAGCTGGCAGGTCCAGGACTTGAACTGGGGTTGGCCATGTGGGAATCCAACGCCCTTAACCACCACACCACCTGCCAGCCCCGATTTTTGATAAGATTTATTCACTCTAGAACACACTAAATCAAAAAGAGCCTGCGTGAGTTAGTTTCTTACATCCTGGTACCAGAAAAAAGCGACTCCCAGACACCCTGTATGTCTCGGGACCAGCAGTAACATGCCATCTGTGGCACTACCCACGTGGGAAAGTCTGGGGTTTGTGTCCCCAGACCTCCCCGGTACCCTGGGCACACGAAGGCCTGCGATCCCGGCCGGCGGAGTCTACGGTGGAGAGTGGTGCCCCCGTCTCACATGGGGTGCGTCTCTGTCTCTCTTTTTCTTCTCTTGCTCTGACTCATGAAAGAAATCAACTGAAAAAAATAAAAATAAAAAGATGTTATGGGGAGCAACAGGTGACACACTGACTAAGGCACTGGACTCCTACCTGGCCAATGCGGTTCAAATCCCAGACCTGGAGGCTTGAAAATCACTCTGGGAGCATGTGTGTGCATGCCACAAATCTCAAGAGGACAATGGAGGAGAAGGAGAAGGGATTGCAGTGTGGCCAACACCCCACGGGGGGCGGGAGGGATGATTCCTCACTTTCCTTCTCACTATCTCTCTCTCCCTCTTTCTCTCTCTCTCTCTCTTTCCAGTGAGCACACATGCCCTATGGCAAAAATACTTTTCTAAAACTTTTTTAAAAGAATGTTACTAGTAACATCATAAAATACGAGCTCCCTAGACTTTTTCTAACATCTTCTCCTGTTTCTTCTGCTCCTCAGCCCCCTCCAGGCTACGTCCTGCCCCTCAGCAGTGCAAGCTCTGAGCAAGGTCACCAGGGCCACCTTGTTCCAGTGCAGTGCTTGAGGTTAATGGCCTCGTCCTCCTTCCCCGGTTTCCTCTCTTAGGGTCCCAGGAGACAGCGAGCTCTCTCCTTGCCTCTTGTCTCAGCAGCCACTCCTCGCTCTCCTTTGACAGGTGCTCTGTCTCCACTCAGCCATGAAGATGGTTCATAGAGCTGCAGATGGCCCTCCTTTTCCCTCGCTCACTCCCTTTCTGTGGGGTCTCTCATTCACCCTGCAGAATTCAACCATCCTCCTCCATCCCACATATCTTTCCTTAGCTCCAAGCCAACATAGCCAACTGGCTCTTAGTCCTATTTCTATGTGAGGATTTATTACAAAGCCTAAAATTCAATATATTTGAAACTAAGTTATTTTCTCCCTGAATTCTGTTTTTCCCCATTGGTGAAACTATTTACCTTCCTCTGGTTCCTTCAATTCTGACTTAAATGTAAATGTGATACTGGAGGCTAGGGCTGTGGC